CCGCAACTCTTAAGCATCTACAGGGGGTTGAAAGAAAAATAGTGCCAAAGCACCGGTGATGACGAAACAGCGTGTCGTTTCTCGCCTTGACGTGGGGTGTTTGCACCACAGGCTATAATTCCGCTGGCTTCTGCTTCAATATTCTAAACTGCGTCCGCTGGCGCAAACAGCTGCCGACAGAGTTGATGTCGTAGCAACTGTGCTACACCAGATGACCTTGAAACCCAAAAAGAGGCCGATAAGCAATCCTTGTTTAGTGTGTATTATCCTTGGGTAAATTCGAGGGGAAATTGTCGGGTTTCCAGCTGTGTTGGAACAAAGTTAATATGTCGCTGAGAAGAAAGCGCTCATACCTTGCGTTCGGTATTTTGCTCAAACAGCAGTGCGTGTTGAGCGGAGCTGCAATCACGTGACCAGCGACCGAACAAAGCAGTTGAACACTGTATCAGAGTACCAGAAATTTTAATATGAGCCTGCAACGAGTACACTTTTTAAATAAACGAACGGTAAATTCAAGCTCGGAGAACTCAGATCAAAATACCGAACGCACGGATAAACTAGAGGTTATTCTAACGTGCAGTTGGACACAAAATGTGCAGTAGGAAAAGTAAATTGTGCAGTGGAAAATTAAAATATGTGTGGTTATTTTTTCATTTATTACGAACAAATAATTTAGTTGACGTAATATGCTACATATGAGAATAGAGAATATAATAGCACTATCAATACATTACATTTAAGTATTCTAAAATATATTGCTAATTTTCCCCAGCACTACCTAAGATCCTCCATTTACCTCATCCGCATTGGCCATCCGCATATCTTGGTACCATCTTTGTGTAGCTTGTCAAAGATCCCACTTTGACATTTTACAGAGGCATGTTGTGATAAATGTAAAAAAGGGCAAGGCACCCCCAAAAAAAAAATTGCCTGTGGCGCAATTTCTTACGGACTTCACAACTAAACTAGGATGTCACTAGCCGCCACTGCTTTTATAACACTCCAAATAATGTTATGTCAGACGTGGTTCGTGAGTTATTATAAAAAAAAAGCTTAAGGACTGAACACCCTTCTAAAATTTTTATTTTTCAACCGATTCAATTCATCTTTTTTTGTATAATATCTACCCGAATTTGGCACTTATTTGGCTCATAATTTTATTTCTGCGGCTGTACTGGTGTACAGGGTGACCACATTTATAGGCTCAAATTTCAATAAGCACTATTAGGGATTTTTTTAGAAAAAATCTGATAGCAGATTCTTGTTTAGAATGGTCTAAAACCCAAATGTACTAGTTTTCGTTTCAATACGATACAGGGTGATGACAACAAATTTTCACAATTTAATGAATCAAACCGCAAAAATGTTATATTTTGAGAAAAGCTTACTACAAATTTTGATTAAGGATGATCTAAAACTTTGTTGTATCAAGTTTTGTCGTTCTCAAGGCCTCAAAAATATGACATTTGTCTGGTTTGTGCATTAAATTTTGAACATTTGTTGAGATCACCCTGTAGCAAACCGGAACAAAAATTAGTACATTTGGGTTTTAGACCATTCTAAACAAGAATCTGCTATCAGATTTTTACTAAAAAAATCCCTAATAGTATTGATTGAAATTGGAGCCTATAAATGTATGGTTTTAATAGAAAACGTCAATTTCTGAGCGAAATACAAAAAAATGAACCCCCCAATCCGAGGCTCAAATTTCTTGAAATTTTGATTGGTGCAAACCGCATTTTGATATCTTCAACCGTTTAGTCGCTAGAGGGCGATTCTCGATTTTGAGTAGTACTGTGAAATCTTCATAACTTTTTTGTTTATGAAAATAACTGATTTTTGTAAAAACTTCCTAGAAGCACTTTTTCAAGCAGAATTCAGTGACGTTTTCAGTTTTTTTCTATTGGGACTCGATTTCAAGATATGGACCAAAATCCGATTTTTTTCAATGGGACACCTTATATATTAATAGCTCTCTAAAAAGCTCTGCTTTTGCTGATTTCAATGATATAAATTTCGATGGGTTTATCTCTAACAGTTTTCGAAAAAAAAAATTATTTCGTTTTTTTCCATAAGGAACAATGTGTTAAAAAAGGTCTTTATATTTGTAAGGAGAATGAGAAAAGTCTCTTTCTAACTCATTGTTTCTTATGACAGAAACCAAAATAGTTTTTCTTCTGGAAAACTGTTAGAGATAAACCCATCGAAATTTATATCAATGAAATCAGCAAAAGCAGAGCTTTTTAGAGAGCTATTAATATATAAGGTGAAAACGTCACTGAATTCTGCTTAAAAAAGTGCTTTTAGGAAGTTTTTACGGAAATCAGTTATTTTCATAAACAAAAAAGTTATGATGGTTTCACAATATTGCTCAAAATCGAGAATCGCCCTCTAGCGGCTAAACGGTTGAAGATATCAAAATGCGGTTTGCACCAATCAAAATTTCACGAAATTCGAGCCTCGCAGTGGGGGGTTCATTTTTTTGTATTTCACTCAGAAATTGACGTTTCCTATTAAAACCATCCAAATTCGGACACCCTGTACACCAGTACAGCCACAGAAATAAAATTATGAGCCAAAAAAGTCCCAAATTCGAGTAGATGTAAGACAAAAAAAGAAATAATTGAATCGGTTGAAAAATAAAAATTTTAGAAGGGTGGTCAGTCCTTAAGCGGGACACACTGTATTATGTGAATGTGTGGTAGTAATATACAATGGTAATACATATTATGGTAATACATACAGTGATTTATTTCCTTTATGTGCAGTGGAAAAAAATCCTTAGAATAACCTCTGCAAAGAAAATGTATTTCTATCTGTTTCTTGAACAAGCTGAAAGAAAGAGATGGAAATACACTCAGTGCGCAGAAACCCAGGCACAAATAGACAAACAAAAATCACATAATATACTATACATATAAAACATGCTCTCGCATCGCAAGTGAAGAAGCAGTTTTTCATTCGCCCCGCCCGCCGGTTTCATTCGCCTCAGATTTTGGGGCGTCAATGTAATTTAAATCTGTCACTTCTATGCTCTGATTGGTTGATTTTTCAAAATCGCTTTTGAAAAACAGGCAACCAACTTTTCATTTTGAGAAAAACGCAAAATATCGAAACTAAACATTCAGATTGTAGATAAAATCGATCAAAGAATATGCGAAATCTGAGTCAATTCTGAAGTGAATTTTGTTTTCTCTTCCAAAGCGGATTTGAAAAAATCAACACAGAACTGAGAGATTTCAATGTCATAAACGCGCCTTTCACCAGAACTCAGAAAAGATATATATGACAGCAGTTAAGCCAATCAGAGCTCGTTCTGCGCTGTGCTCTGCGTTCGTGGATCGATTCCGAATCGATTCTGAATTAGTTCTATGGGTTCCGGAGTTTTAACAAAAACTCTTGCGCAATTTGATACAGAAATAGTGCTGAATTACAGAGGCTCTGCAACAGCAAGATACAAATGCAGGACCTGCAAGTCTGACATTTCGTATTAAGAAGCAGAATGCATTTGCAAGTCGCCTGCAACCTTGCGCATGGTGAAACGGTCCCGTAAGTCCTTGCAATAACTTTGACATGTAAAACTGGTAAATCAGTAGGGCCTAAACACGTATTCCGATAAATATGACGGAATTGCAGTTTTTTTTTCTGTAATTTACTCGTTCTTGCAAATAAAGCATATATGCAAGTCGGCCATATTTGCAGAACTGCAAATCTGCAGATGCAAATATACTGTAATTTGGCTCATAGTTACGAATATCTTTTTCTACAGGACAGTGGACAGTCTAGAATTCTGTTACGGTTTCGCAACTGTTCGCGCTAATTATCAAATCCTGAACCAGTTTAAAACTGGGCGTGCCTTCTATGGCAACTTGGCGTTTTAATGCGCACTGAGTGTATTTCCATCTCTTTCTTTCAGCTTGTTCAAGAAACAGATAGAAATACATTTTCTTTGCACTAATGGCGAATTCCATTTGCAGAATCAGTGCAGAAAAAATGTATCGATATCCTTCTATTCCACATGCTTTTAGAAAAAGATGCGGATACACTCAATTCGCACATACATAACCTCACTTCCGTTAAGGGGACAAACAAAGCGCTTGAAAGGTCCATTTAACACACAGCCGCTAGCTTGTCACAAACGTGACTTTCGTTAGGGAGACAAACATGTCATTGAGGTTATGAGTGAGGGTCCAGAATATGATCCACGAACAAAGCTCGCTAATAATAATAAAATCTGTTTTTTTTTTTAAAGATAAAAGTCAAAATGACATTCTGTTGGCAATACAATGTAAAATTGTCAATGCTTTCAAATTTTTTATGTAGAAAAGGCTTGTGTTGCCAACATAGTTACTAAATTTTTGACTTGGGGAATTATCTTAAAAAAAAAAAACATACTTTATAAAGACGGGTTACTTTGGGTTAGTTTATGGGCGCTTCTCAGCGACATATTAACTTTGTTCCAACACAGCTGGAAACCCCCCCCCCCCCCCCCCCCCCCCCCCAGTAATATTTGTATATAGTTTCTCACCTGAGGGGGTGCAAATTTTTTTTCGTGTGGTGCAAAACGGTGCAAATGGGTGCAAAAAAATGGTATAGGTTTTAATTGATTTGGAAATATGGGGGGGCTATCTTAACTGACCTGAATGTCCCCAATCTAGCAAACCATATACACATGCACATACGGAAGTCAAATGGACCAAAGCATGCTTGGCAGTCATGCTGACCTCCATATGAACTGTTGATATTACCCTTACAGGATTCTCAAAGGTTAGCTTCGGATCCAAGTGTCATAAGGTCTAAGTGAAAATATGATTATCTCAGTTTTTCTTGGTTGAAATTAGGTTTGACAGTCAGACTCACAAAACACTTAATAAGCTGTATACTATTTAGATTGTTATTATTCTTTATTCTGTAGTGTACTACTCAATAAATAAATTAATTACCTAATATATTATGTATTAGTGAGATGTATTAGTAAAATAATATCATCCTGTTCTTACCGCTTCATTGTTGTCCATTTGAACTCCACAAGCTTTCAACATGTTATTGGCTGCATCGTGTTTTGCATCTTTTTTCGTTAATCCCTTTCCCATGGCGGTTCGACCATTGAATGTGCAGGTACATTCGAAACTCTTCATGTGGTCTGGACCAGAACCACATGCTTCATACAGAGGCGCGCCTACATGGTCTTTGGATGCTAGTTCTTGTAGTATTGATATTGGAGATTTGAGCATTTTCAAGATTGTCTAAGAGAAATAAAATAAAGTCTTTAATGTGTGTGTGTGTACCATGCTAATGTGAGCAGTTGTGTTTCCATGAGCTCTGCAAGTTTTTTCTGATTAGTGTGGTATAAACCTATTTTTAAAAGTCAAGTTTGGTGTTATTGTGTTTGCCTGTGACGGAGGAATATTTCTGTGAGGTTCAAAATCACGTATGGAACTTACGTCACTAAATATTTAGTTATTTAGTTTTTAATCAGTTCGATCCCATTGTTGATCAGTGCCACGGTATTTATAGTCCTTCCTGTGGATAAAGTCGCAGCTAGTAGTGTTTTTAATATGGCTGGTGGAACCAGAAGCGGCAGCAAGTCGGACGATGAGTTTATTGAAAAACTAATAAATCGAGTGTGTACCAGTTTTGTAACCAAATTAGAGGAAAAAATGGAAAACAAATTCAACAACCTGGAAAACAAAATAACACAGGTATGCGAAAATATTAAAACATTGAGTGATACTGTTTCTACTACCGATCACAACGTGAAGGAATTACAAGGTCGTTCAGACAAAATTGAGCAATACTTGAAGCGCAATACTATACGCCTATGTGGTCTAGAAGAAACTGATCAAGAAAATTTGGTCCATGCGGTATCTCATTTTCTTACTGAGAAGCTAAATGTTTCGTGCGACACAAACGAGCTGGATTCAGTGTTCCGTATAAGTAGCAAGAAGGACAAAGACGCCAAGGGACGACGTACCGTTCTAATTAATTTTGTGACAAATATAAAAAAGGCTGAAGTAATATCGACGAAGAAAGCATTAAAAAATTCCCCGTACTCGATATACGAGGATCTTACTCGCTCTCGTTATGAGATTCTTGCAGCAGCTAAGAAGAAATATGGCAATAACCAGGCCTGGTCATCTGGTGGTAAGATATTTTTTTGGGACCAGAAGAAAAACAGGAAAACGGAGGTCATATCACTAAACCATATTTGAATTATTTTACACGTATGTTTATCGATTTGGTAGGACTATACTCTTAATTTCATATCTTGTACTATTACATAGTTTTTTTGTCTCTATTGTATTGAAGCGATAAATATGAATATGAATAAAGTAGGTATAGGTACTCATTTTGCAGATGTACTTGGTTTCGTACCTTTATAGATTTATCGATAGGATGCTTCCTTTTTTCTCGTAATATATTTAAGGCGTATAATTTTTAGTTAAGCTAAGGTGTATACCCTAATTCTTTGATTTATTATTAATTATTATTATTATTATTATTTTTATTTTATGTATTTTTTTTTTTGTTGGCTCATGGATTGCATTCATTATTGCTTCGCATAAATAGCTTGTATGGCTGCTAACAGTAGCGACTGTCTGAACTTTTCACATTTAAATGTTAGATCTTTGTGTTCTAGGTTTGACGCATTTGAGGAATTTGTCGCGGCGGAGCAACTCGATATTTTGGGACTTTCTGAAACCTGGCTTCACGGTGGCATTGCTGATAATGCTGTACATATAAATGACTATAATATAGTAAGAAAGGATCGAGAGGGTCGTGGTGGAGGTGTTGCTTTCTATATCAAGAATTTTATTAAATACAAAATACTTGCCACCCCTCCTTCGTCTAGTAAGCTTGAATATTTGTGGATAAGCATCAAAACCAGAGGTAAGGAGTTGTGTTTTGGGACGATCTATAGACCTCCGCAGGTTAATTTATCAGATTGTATCGACGAGTTGTAAAATATCTTGGTTTGTTTTTTGCCAAAGTACGACTGTGTTCTATTTGGGGGCGATTTTAATGTCGATTTGTTGAAAAATAACAGTGGTACATTATGCATGAATAATTTCCTAAATAAATATGGACTGACTCAATTGATATCTTCTCCTACACGCGTTACAGGTACGTCCTCTTCGCTAATTGATGTGTTGGTGACGTCTCGTGAACAATTTGCTTCTAACATCTCAGTAACTCCAGTGGATGATGTTTCTGACCACTCTGTGGTCCAATGTAGTCTGATAATTCAAAAGACTAAGCCACCAGGTCTCTTTTCGTACTTATCGGGATTATACAAATTTTAATAATGATTTATTTGTAGAAGATTTGGCGCGAATTGATTGGGATATTTTCTATAGGAGTGATAGTGTTGATGAAAAAGTACTTATTTTCAATAGGAAGATTAGCGATATTTTCGACTTTCATACCCCATTAAAAACTGCACGAATTACAAAGGCGCCGGCTCCATGGCTGACGGATAATTTGAAACTTCTTATGAGACTGCGTGACAAAGCTCGAACGAAATTTAATAAAAATAAAACTGAAACTTTGTGGCAACAATATAAAAATTTAAGAAATTTTGTAACCACTGCCGTAAGAAATGAAAAACGTGCTTTTTTACAACACAAGTTTAAAGCTGATCCGAGGAGTTTCTGGCGTAGCCTGAAGTATTTAAATATTAATACAACCCCAAGAGTCTGTGTAGATAGTATAGGTACTGCTTCTTCATTTAATAATTACTTTATTGATAGTGTACCGATTTCTGATGTAACAAATCATCAATTTATCTCTGACAATTACGTGAATCAAACGCATCCAGGTGTTCGAGATAAGTTTAAATTTACAGAAGTTAACTCTGATTTTGTCGAGAGGAGGTTGCTAAGCATTAAAACAAATGCGAAGGGAGTGGATGATATAGATAGTAAAATGCTTTCTCTTGTTGTTCCTAGCTTGACGAACCAAATAACACATATCATTAACTTTTCGCTTCGTTCTTCAGAATATCCATCTGTCTGGAAGTGTTCAAACGTCATACCCCTTCCCAAGGTTCCAAATCCCACACATATTATGCAGTTTCGTCCAATAAGTATATTGCCTGCTATATCCAACGTACTGGAAAGGGTTGTTAACGAACAACTTAACAATTATTTTAATGATAATAAAATCGTGCCGGTCACACAGTCTGGGTTTCGTCCACTTCATAGTACTACGACTGCTCTGCTTAAAGTAACAGATGATATTTTTCGGGCGTGTGATGGTGGGAGCACCACATCTCTTGTGCTTTTGGATTACAGCAAGGCTTTCGACACGCTGAACCACGACATTTTATGTACTAAGTTGGAGTACTTTGGTCTCGACAAGTCGTCGCTGCTTTTCATGAGGAACTACTTGAGGGGCAGAGAGCAGAGGGTGGTGGTTGGCAATAGTCAGTCAGACTCCGTGGTGCTGACAAGGGGTGTACCCCAGGGAAGTATACTTGGTCCTTTGCTGTTTTCTGTGTACACATCTGACTTTGCTAGTTTTTTAAAGTTTTGTAAATCTCATCAGTACGCCGACGATATGCAAATATACCACTCGTTTCCTATTTCTGAATTCAAAAGTGCCGAGGAACAGGTTAACTGTGATCTGAAAACAATTTATGAAGTTTCTCAATCGCATGGCCTGATACTGAATGGCGCCAAGTCGCAAATCATGTTATTTGGTAAACACCGTGAACTCCTGTCTTCAAACAATAATTTTGTTATCGAAATCAATGATCAACGTCTTGTGCCTTCAAACACTTGTAAAAATCTGGGTCTCTTATTGGACTCTCAGTTGCGTTTTGGTTCGCATATTGCGGGACTTTTGCGAGCAGGATTTACCAAACTACGCACTCTCTATATGCATCGTGATTTTCTCTCGACCGACATAAAACTTAGATTGTGTGATTCCCTGGTTTTATCCAATCTGGGTTATTATGACGTGGTATATTGGCCAGCCTTAACATGTAAAGATAAAAGTAGCTTACAGAAATTGCAGAATTCATGTTTAAAGTTTTCATACGGCCATAGGAAATTTGATCATGTATCCCCTCTTTTTGATAAATCTAAATGGCTTAACCTACAAAAAAGATTTTCTGTGCATTTGGCAACTTTGACTTTCAGAATTGTCACAACGAGACAGCCCGAATATCTGTTTGAGGAGCTGAGTCGTAGGTCTGATACTCATGAAAGGTCAACTAGACACTGTAATCAATTTAGTATTCCAAAACACAACTCTGCTTTGTATCAGCGTTCTTTTACTTACAATGCCGTGAAATTTTACAATTCCCTGCCTCTCAAAGTGACTTCTTGCTCCGCCGTGACGGGTTTCAAAAAGAGTGTTAAAAGTTTTATTGTCGAATCTTGCGAATGAATGTGAAGAGTGTAGACATAATATTGTAGAAACTTGTATTTTTTTTTTATTTTGGTACTAGACAATTAGTAGATAATTATTTGTTTTGCGGTTAGATATGAGTAGCTCTAAGCTAGATCTCGCCGCTATTCAATTTAATTTTTGTATTTGTTTTTTTTTGAAGGATAATAAAGTCATTATTTATTTATTTATTTATTTATTTATTTAATGCATAGATAACAGAAATATAAAGGCAGAAAACGTATCATGGCTGGTAAGTGATATTCTGCAAATAATATCAAAATAGACAAATACCGACTGATAATTCACAGTACCAGGGGGGTTTCAGTCAATAAATACTTATTTTTGATCAGCAGGATGTTACAGTACTCATAAATAATCATGGAATCTTATGATATAATATGATCTCTGGCAAATAGAATGTACATGGTTATTGAACAACAATCTATGATCCACTCGTCCCTCGATAATATCATAATCAGACCAAAATCAATGAGTTTAATTGGTTGAAAAGAATGGGTGACTTGTGCCCGACGCCATAGAATCAATGGATAACAATGAAGTAACTGCTGTGAATTTATTTGCTCTCAAACGTGCTTTTGAAACGGTTGATAGGGATAAACTAGTTTTGAAATTGAGGTCTTTGGGTTTTGATGGGGTTGTCATAAATTGGATTCGAGATTATTCAAGTTAAAAAAAAGGCAAAAAGTTGAATGCGGTGAATACACTTCCCAGGAAAGTTTAATAAATGTTGGAGTGCCACAGGGTAGTATTTTGGGTCCACTCCTGTTAATACTCTACATTAATGATATACAGCTGGTTTTGAAAAATGTTAGATACCATCTTTTGCTGATGATGCCATCATTTATGCATTACACTCAGATTTAAAGGTTGTTGTAGATAAATGAATAGTATAGTTCCTAACGCTTGCGAGTTGAAATTTCCCGCACTCATTAGGAAAATAGCTATTATTGTGAACACACACCTTCTCAGTTTCGCACGTTAATTATAATTTTCCGTTTATTAAGTTAAGTTAGGTGGACGTGAATGAACTTCAACATGTAAAAGCAAATCTTAGACTTAAGACTTTTGAAAATGTTCACTTTAATTGAACTAGCAACATTCACACTGATTTACCACTTAATGAGCATTTATCAATGTTATTCAGATAAAAATATTTTGATTGGAACAAACGAAGGAAAAAATCGCAGTCCTAATCCAAGAACATATAACAAAATTGGACAGGTGCCTTACTTATTATTGTGACGGACTCCGGGTCCACTAAAATATGTATCTTTTCCGAAATTTCAATTTTATTTTCTTGCGTAGTTTTCAAAAGTCCGCGCGCATGAGCGGCCCTTGGTAACTTTTATTGTACAAATTGACTGTATATAAGAATTCACTTACCACTTATCGAAACTTTCACAAAAAATCTCTTATGAATGTTGTTATGAGATACAAAATTAAAAATATTATGCTGCAATGATAAGATAACTTAAAATACCACAGATAACATTAAGTGCAAAACATATGTTACACTGAGAAAAAAAAGGTTTTTGTTACTCTACATTATGGTTTTCGCAAAATTGAATAATTATTGTAAATTCAGTTGGTCACTATAGTCAATCACATTTACAGTAAATCATTTCTGAAATATAGCTTTATATCCCAAATTTGACTAGATTATAAATAAATCCAAAATTGATTATTAGGATTGGATAATAAGCAAAACGTCTTTATGAGTGTAAAAAAAATAGTGTACCGGACTTCGAGGGGTGATATACTACATATGAAAATAAGGAAAAAAGTTCCTATGAACATATGCCCCAAGATGCTTTTTTGTTTTGTGAGTAACTACCCTCTACCCTTATAGAAACTACCCTTTTAGAACTGTTACGACCTTTTTTACTATCACCATTCGCTTTGGTGTCGAAATGTTTACGGGAATGCCAAATTTCAAGGCAAATAATTTGCCACTGTTCTTGAAAATAAATAAAATCTATTATTTTTATCCACCGTTTGAAGGGCTGTAACTTCTTCAGGAAGCATCTTAAGACTAAGGGACTTTTTGTCTTATTTTCATATGAATTATCACCCCTTGAAGTCCGGTACACTATTTTTTTACACCATGTATAGTGAACAAGTGAAGGTTGGGATAAAATCCATAAAATATACACGGTGGATATTTTCCAAAAAATCTCAGACACATCGATGTTTGATTTCAGAGGCCGTTTTTTAGACGATAATAGAAGTATTCTTTCGATCTCAACAAACTAATCGAAATCACTTGTGGTTTGTTTCAAACAATATTGTCATCCGGTTTTACAACGATTTCGTTGGCCCTAACTGTTTTTTTGACGCCTCATAAACAAACCTTATGTGATTTTAATCAGTTTTTCCCAATTATACTCCGTTTGTCCAGACCGATAAGGAATACCCGGAATATCAATTATACAGGGTGACCCAAAAACAACCTATGACAGCTAACTTTATTTTATTAAATGAAAACACCAATTTTTTATTTCATTTTGAAAATCTACATTTAATTCTGAACCTATGCATATGGCAAAAACAGGATCTTTCTTCATTCAACACGATTGAAAAAAGACAAAGCTGATAATCCGGTTAATCGGATCAGTGTTTCCGAAAAATAATATACTCATATAAAAAATAATAAGTCCGACATTAAACGTTGAAGGCACCACGGGTATTAAGGATATTATTAACGTTTTCGGTCAACGTATATCCCTGGGGCCAGAGGCCCTCGGGAAATACACCATTGACCACAAGCGTTAATATCCTTATAATATCCTTGATACCTTAATAACTAATAAGTATGTATACAGGGTGATTCCAAAATGGCGTATAAACTCTCCACTACCTTGTAGGAGGCCCTTCAGGGAAAAATATTTTAAAAAATTCTCTCTAACTAATCTCGGTGATATGAAGGCGTTAGATTGAGAATGTTGACAAGTCAACTTCTTTATTTCCGATTTTTTTTTTAAACTGCGATATCCCCTATAAAGTTCCAGTTTCTTTTATTGATCTATGGAAAAAAAAATCACACTAGTTGGATTTTACTAAATTAATTTGAAATAAATTTTACAAACTGTGAAATCTCCACCTCTAAATCCAAAAAATGAATCTGGCAACGCAACGTTACTTTACTCATTTTTTTGCAGGTATGTCAAATGTTTTAAGGGTTTGATACACTGACAGTCATCGTATTTTCAATACCCGTTTGTAATAACCTTATCCTTTATCAATAATGAATCAGATGAAACAGAAAATTACTAGCCAATCACAAATCACTAAAATTACTGGTGAACGACTGGTACTTTCAAATAGGTATTAAAAATACCATGTCAGTATGTATGGTATGTACAGGGTATTTGATTATATTTAGACCACTGATCTAAAAAATAAATGGATAAACAATTCATACGGCTTGATTGGCAAAATTTGTGCGAAAATTTGGGGTCAATATTCTACGAACAGTTGTGCAGCGGAACAACCTAACGCCTGCGCAGTGTCTTATCTTTTGAACAACTGTTCTAAATTTTGAAATTCCTTCATTTTCATTGGCCAGATTTTGTGCACGCACAATACATGTATCTACTGCGCACGCTCACAGCTGTCCCAGTCAGTTGTTTTTGTTTAGATTTTGACCTCGTAAATTAGCAGCATTAGAAGCGTTCTTTGTTTATCCATTTATTTTTGAGATCAGTGATTTAGACCCATACCTACAGTTTTTTTCTATATTTTCTTTTAACGTTATCAGAAAAAACAAAATCGCATCGGAAAATGGATAAACGTAAACAACTTCAACTTTTTTTGATGAAACTCCCTGTATATTTTGCGATAAAATGAAATATCTTTTCTTCCTGATTCCAAATATATACAGGGTGTCCCAGAATATGTGGGCAATCTCTCGGATTCAGACAAAACACAAAGAAATAACACAACTTCCTATAAAAAAAAAATACAAGGGAGAAAAGTACTAGAATGCCTATGAAAACCGTGGGATAGGTCATGAGGGTCCTGTGTTATGGCTTCCACGGTCTCCTGACCCAAACCCTCTCGACTTTTATTTATGGGGACACATAAAACAGCTAGTTTATTGCCACCCAATACCTAATATGGATGTTCTCAGACAAAGAATAGAGGACGCATTTCAGACAATTAGAAACAACCCAAGAATTCTACCACGTGTGCATCGTAATCGAGATCGTAATCTAATAAAAAGATTAGCAGCTTGTCGTGATGCTAATAGTAATAATTTTGAACATTTTCTCTAAATTGTAAGATTGTTTGCTCTTTTTTTTCCATTGCAATGCAGAGTAGTATTCATCAATAAACATACGCAAATCAGAAAATTTTCAAAGTCAATTTTCTCGTGAACGGTACGCTATATCGAATTGAACCAAGAGTACCTTTTCTGTGTAAAAAACTCTAAACTTTCCGAATTTTCAATCAGAATCGCAAAAATCTGACAAGTAAAAAAAAAGGAATGTTTTAACCCTCACCCTCCCCAGTATGTGACGCCACTGATTAAGATTTTTGAATTTTCAATTTAGTATCTTAATTGCCATCAAATGTTTATAAAATACACCAATTTTCAAAATCCATTTGTGAAGGATTACAAAGTTATAGAGAAAAATACGTCTTTCAGGTGTCCTATTCGAAGGGGCGTAGCCCCCTTAGGATGCATTTCCAAACCCATTTTAATGGGAACTTTTTGTCTTATTTTTATGCAAGGAATACGCCCTCGAAAGGATGCCGCTTACTTTTGAATCACCCTGTATGAAATGCAAAAGCACAAAAAGTATGAATGTCTGCCATATTGACAATATTTTTTTTTCCTATTTACATATAGGTGATTAGTAAGTTAATATCAATATCTCCAGACGTATTGGCCAGTTTTTCGTGCCCTTTATGGTAGCAGATACACTACTAAACAACAAAGTTGGCAAAATCTTGTAAGCACAATGTTGAAAGGGATGTAGCTTGATTGTATCGATTTCAAACAGCTTCGCAGGTTTCGAAAGCTTATTTTTTTTAGAGGTTCCACGAGTCGCCTGCTTTTTTTCCAGATGGCCCTGTTCACATTATACAAGGGTCGAGAAAATCATAAACCTCAAATTAGGGAAATTATGATAATTGTTCTTTTTGAGTCTATTCAAATTGGTCTGCATGCTTTTTGTTTTCTTTGAAAATTTGTTAGGTGATATTTGAAACAATTTTTTCGTTTTTGCATTAGAGCCTACTGAAGATCCTTTTTAGCACCAGTATTGTCTACTATGTTAAAATGATGTGGCTAACGGTTTATTGGATTGTAAAAGTGTCGTGGAACCTCTAAAAAAATAAGCTTTCGAAAGCTGCAATGCAGTTCGAAATCGATACAAACGTTTTCAAGCTACAGGCCTTTAAACATTGTGTATGCTTACAAGGTTTTACCAACTTTCTGATAGTTTATTTAGTGGACTTGTATATTAGCAGTGCAGGGGGCATCTTTACCAAAATCAGCTTGGCTTTTTTGAAGGCAGGTCAACTGCAAGCAATTTATTAACATATCAGGCCAGTATCGTACGGAACATAGAACATGAAAAAACAAACGGACTCAATTCATACAGGCCTTTGATCGGATCGATCACCAAATCTTACTTAAAAAGCTGCAGGAAATTGGCTTTCATCGGAATTTAGTAATTTGGCTAGAGAGCTGTTTAACTGGTCGATCACAACAGGTTAAAATAGGATGTTTTTACTCAGAGGTAATATTTGTTACATCTAAAGTGCCGCAGGGAAACATTATAATTTAACATTTTTGTTAATGATATCGTTGAGTGCTTTATCTGTTGTTTGTGTTTGGTATTTGCTGACGATCTGAAATTTTGGAAGGAAATTGAGTGTATGACTGATCAACAAATGTTGCAAGAAGATTTAAGTCGTCTCTCAGAAGCAGAAGTAGATGTTGGAGGAAGACATAATAGTTGTACCATTTCATTGTCCCGTGTATTTTTAACAAAACTATAGAATCAATTTTTTTGAAGCACCATATTTATATACCTAACAAGATGCAAGCAATCTCATGTCTTATTTTCACATGCTATAACTGGCTGCGTTACTACTTCTGAACTTTTCAAAAGGGGTAAAACAATGAGTTAATTGAATGCGCAAAAGTAGTGTGACTGTGTATGTCGTCCCCCAACATCTGACTATCAAGTTCAATTGTGGCTAGGCAATTAACTGGACCCAGAAGACTGGGGTTAGGAATTTATAGATAATACTTTTGAGCCAATTTAAACTTAACCCCCACCTGCTCCAGAAAAACTACTTAACACAATTTTTTGCAATTTCAAAAAGGGTTGTTTTGTAGTGCAAGCTGTGGCTGTAAAAAATTCGGATTGTTTTGCACACCAATATGTATATCCTATCCACA